CCCCCCGTCGTGCACGATGGGCACTTCAGCAGGCTACAGAAGGATGCCACTTACAACTGCGACGGATGCCACAGCGTGGGGCTCCACGGTTCTGCAGGCACCTGGGAAGACGATTACGCCTGGGAGCTGCTCGCCCAGAACCGCCTGCAGGCGCGCGCGAAGGGGAAGAACTGCAGATGGCTCTGCGAACGCTGTTGGGCCGCCTCATTGGAGAAGAAGGGCATTCCCCTCCCCGAGCCTGACCCCTCGGAGCGCATCAGCAAGAAGTCCATGCAATGGCTACTGCAGGAGCATAAGCGCAGGCTGCTGGACAACCCGTAGCAGAAGAGGGCGAGGGCCCTCCCATCCCTGGACAGGCTCCCACCTGGGTTGCAGGAACCAAAGGACAGAGCAGCCGCGGTCTCCCTCGAGGGGCCCCTACTTCGTACGCCGCGCCACTACCGCCCCACCGGCGTAGGCACCACGCTTCCACCGCAAAGGCTATCAGACGACAGGTCCAGTGCAGAGGCGCACCGTAGCAAATGCTACTCGGCCAATTGCGACTTTTGTCCCCCGCACTCCCCATGTCTCGAATGGCCTGCAGGCGCGCCCGCCCTGGGGTGCTTCATTTGGCGCCCTGAAGAAGGCGCCGAGTGCAGTGACCGCACAGGCCTCCCAGAGTGGGAGGCAATGCCATCGTTGTGGATCAAAAGACAGTGGAACGCCAGCTGGGCCTGCAGGAGATGCTTGGTGCACATCTGGGACAGCGCACCCAGCACACTCAACAGAGTGCTGGACTCATGCTCGAACGAGATATATCCCCCCAGCCCCGTCATGGCGGCGACTAGTGAAGACACTGAGGACTGGGGCATCTACGACACGACAGCACACCTCTCTCCTGTCAGCCCAGCTACCAACGAGGGCTCCACCGCAGGCCCCCCCCCCGGGCTCGGATCGCGGTCAGTGAGGATCCCCGGTGTCCATGCTACATTCTGGTGCGCCCTGCCTGCGCTCCCACCACCCAACGCACCCCAGCTACCCACGTACGTACACGACCCTCCGACTGGCGGGGGGGCAGTCGTGCAGCCCAGTCCGCAAACTTGTTAAGTTTCTGTTGGAATGGAACCACGAGGTCTACATCCGATGGTCGACTTTCGGGGGGGGAAAGGAACGGAGGCAAAGTGGGTGAAGACAGCGATGAATCGGAATGGTCACACAACCAGCTGTTGCGCTTC